CGCCTCGTGTAATAATTTTATTACTTAAGATCAAATCAACATTGAAAGGAATCAGATTTGGGACAGTAGAGCTGTCATCGGGTCGGTGGTGTAGCGGTCTAACGCGCTTATATTCATTTATAGGCAAGTTTATGAATCAGAGACTGCTGGGCTTCGAATCCAAGACCAGACCATGTGGATTTTTAATTAAATTGCATGGTTCGGTTTAGGATTTGATGTGTGCCGTATTAATAGAAATTCAATTTCTGTTGATATGACATGCAGATTATAAAATCGCCATGCATTACCGTCTCGATGATGGTGGGTGAGGTTTTCCGGGTTTTCCTCACCTGTAAGTCGAATGGCACCATCAATCATCTTTAAGTCGCTTCGGAGCGCCACGGCAAATAATAATAATAGCCGTCCCTTTCCCCGCACAAGCTCAGCTTTTGGGGTTAAAATTCACTCGTAAGGGGGTGAATTAGGGAGAGTATTATTATTAAAGAAAAAGCGGCAAAGACCATGAAAATGCATTCAAACGAGTATTGAAAGTAATTTTAAAAACCGACTTCAAAATCGTGCAGATCTCATCACCATATGTTAACCAAATTTATATGGGACCATCCCTGAGGTACCCCCTTACTAATAAAAAATGAGTCATAGAAATCGGACAAGGTGGTAAAGAATTATAGCTAAACATACATAAAAAATGAAGAGTTTGATGATTTTCCCATGGAGCCAGTCATTAAATTTTGACCAAATTTATATGGGACCACTCATGAAGTACCCCCTAACTAACAAAAAATGAGTCTTAGAAATCGAACAAGGTGGTAAAGAATTATAGCTAAACATACATAAAAAATGAAGAGTTTGATGATTTTCCCATGGACCCAGTCATTTTATTTTGACCAAATTTATATGGGACCACCCCTGAGGTACCCCCTTACTAACAAATAATGAGTCATAGAAATCGAACAAGGTGGTAAAGACTTATAGCTAAACATACATAAAAAATGAAGAGTGATGATTTTCACATGGACCCAGTCATTAGATTTTGACCAAATTTATATGGGACCACCCCTGAGGTACCCCCTTACTAACAAAAAATGAGTCATAGAAATCGAACAAGGTGGTAAAGAATTATAGCTTAACATACATAAAAAATGAAGAGTTTGATGATTTTCCCATGGACCCAGTCATTTTATTTTGACAAAATTTATATGGGACCACACCTGAGATACACCTAACAAAAAATGAGTCATGGAAATCGGACAAAGTGGTAAAGAATTATACCTAAACATAAATAAAAAATGAAGAGTGATGATTTTCCCATGGAGCCAGTCATTAAATTTTGACCAAATTTATATGGGACCACTCATGAAGTACCCCCTAACTAACAAAAAATGGGTCTTAGAAATTGGACAAGGTGGTAAAGAATTATCGCTAAACATACATAAAAATGAAGAGTTTGAGGATTTTCCCATGGACCCAGTCATTAGATGTTGACCAAATTTATATGGGATCACCCCTGAGGTACCCCCTTACTAACAAAAATGAATCTTAGAAATCGAACAAGGTGGTAAAGAATTATTGCTAAACATACATAAAAAATAAAGAGTTTGAGGATTTTCTCATGGACCCAATTATTAGATTTTGATCAAATTTATATGGGACCATCCCTGAAGTATCCCCTTTCTAACAAAAAAAAAAGAATAATTGAAATCGGACACCGTGTTAAAAAAAATATATACCAACGAATTGAGAACGGTTAAAAATGATTAACAGCCATACTATGACCAATAGAAAATTTGCATGTAGCAGACAGTAGAGGGAAGAAAATTGAACGTTATAATGTTGGAATTGCGAAATAAAAGTATAAACAATTTTATAGCACTAATCCGTTTTTTTTTTCTAGCCACACATATAATAAAAAATAGAAGAAGGTTTTATGTGAAATATTTAGCTCTCAACCTGTTTAAACTTACACGTGTCTTCTTATATTTTTCATTAAGTCTATTTTGATTATCGATTATTTATAAAAATATCACTCTATTGTTTGATTTGCTTCCGCAACGACGAAATTTAAACTTTTTCTACCACTAATTTTACAATAAAAAAAAATGCGTTTTAAAATTATAATTAATATTGAAGCAGCAAAATTTATCTAAAGTTTTTCCTGACGGTACAAAATTTTTAGCAAGTATATTTTTTGTAGGTTAATAAATTTGCCGTAGAAGACGTTGACGACTCTAGAATAATTTGACAGAAATTGTATCAAAAATAATAAATTCAACACCATAACTGACATCAGATAAAATAGATGTATGGCAACTAATATATGTCTATCTCACTAAAACCAACACAGACTTGGAATGTTGGATAATCTCTATTTGTTTTTTTTTACCCACGTTTAAAAGTAAATTTCAGACAATGTTGAATACTTTAAGAAATATTGGATATCAGTTGAATGATATTGAAATGTCAAAATTAGAATAAAAAACATTAAAATGAAATGCTAAAAATGCCCTTTTCTTATTTTGCTACACTACAAGAATAATTTGTTTATCATAGTATTAGAAATAAAAAAATAAACGTTAAAATTTCATAATTGAAACTGATATGTATCAAACATATAAGATTTGACAGACATCAGTTGTATGACAACTGACATTGACAACTACACTGACATGGAATGTATTAGTTGGTCTTCTACGATTTGCTAAATATTTGAACAGAAATAAATATTTGTGCAGGAAAAGATAAATGCAAAATTTTGCGCCGTCAGTTTAATGCCTTAATGCGTAACTGTACAACAACTTTTATAAGTTTTTTTAAGTGTCCAACTTTCTTTTGAAGTTTCAAGATCACAGAATTACTTACACACAAGACTTGCACACGATTTCTTTTCTTCACTATACAAAGTACATATTACAGCCCCTCCCACTCGATTGCAGATTTTCATTTTTTATATATAATGTTTGTCCCAAAATAGCCTATTGATATTTCGGTTAATCATTATAAAATAAGAGGTAGAAGAATTTTAGGGAAATGCAATGTAGGCAGTGAAGTGGAAGGTGTTAAGATGAAAAGATAATGTTTTAACCACACAGAATGTAAACATAAGTAACATAAATGCGGTTTTCAAGAATAAGCAGCGTTTATTTTAACCCGTTATGAAATAAAACGTACTTTCCCGATTTTGTTTTGTTTTTAGTAGTAATATAGTAGTTTTTACAAAAATGATATCAATAAGTGACACTGCATGTCATATATTTAATTGCCTAGATTGATTCATTTTTTTATAGTGTGTGCCCGGTTCTAACTATACCTGCAAACTCTTATTTCTCTCCTTTCTGTGGAAAATTTTGCTTATTTCAAAAACGTCTTTGTAACAACAAACCAGGAAAATAAAGTGAAGACAGCAAAAACGAAACATTTAAAAAAATCGCAATAAGAGTTAGGTGCAGAAACGAAGAAATCGGAGACAGCTTAAATAGAGAAAAAATAATTGAAATGCCACCAGATAGAATAAAAAAAAAAAGGAAATGGAATCAAAAAGGTATGGAAAGAGAAAAGTGGGAATGCCAAAAAAGGATATGGAAAATGGAATAAATGAAATAGCGAAAAAAGTGTCAAGAATCCAAACCATGTAATGGCATAAGGAAAAAGATAAAGAAAGAGAAGAAGAGAAATAAGTCTTTGTGACATCACTAATATCGCCTAAATGAGACAGTTCGTAAAATCTCCATTATTAAAATGAAGACTTGAATTAAATAATGTGTTAAGTACCAAAAAAATTGGCTTTTCATTTTATACTTGTAAAATGTTCTAGGTGCCATAACCAACAACATATATAAAGCGCTAAGTGCAACGGCTATTAAATTATTTACATTTAGCACATTATATTCAAGTCTTCAAATGACCATCGCACTTTTAATGTTCTACTAAATTAATTGAAACAGCGCCATAAATGAAATATTTTGAATTAAATACCAAGTGAAGTGGAAAAAGTGATCGAAAAGGTCGGACACAAGAGAATACAGCTTTTTCCATAAAAAATATATAGTTCTGGGTAAATAATCTATAGGATTTGAGTCCAAATAGAGAGAAAAAAAAAGAAGACATTTCCCGTACTACCGCACTGAAAAACCCCCTTAAGAGTTTGGTTTTCTTTGGGTATATGTGTAGAGTCGATTGAACAATTCCATTTAAAATTAAAAAGGCAACCAAGTCTACTCTTCCACCAGAATTTTATATATTTTTAGTAGAAGGAAAATGGCAACACAGAATGAGCAGGTCATTGACCTCTTTTATGAATTTAAATAAATCATTGAATTTTCTACCATTTATTTTTAAAAGCAATGGCAAAATAACACCACTGAACTTAAAGGTAAAGGAAATGCATTAAATTATTAATAGGCGTTATATTATCACAGCTGTCTGAAAACAATTCTGATTTATTATAAGTAGGCCACTTTGGACTTTTACCTGTGTACAAAAATGAAGAGGACATACTGTTAATAGCTTGAAAAGTAGAAGATACATTGGCACAAGTGTATTTTATCTTATATACATTTTTTTGTATTCACAGAAGAAGTTTCTTGTTGCAAGTTATTTTTGAGGTACTATACGTATTATACTATTTCCATTTTAAATTGTACTCATAGATATAAAAAGGGGAAAAAGAATCGCAGAGGTAAAAATATAAATCTAATAACATCCTAAATAAAAAAAAATAAAGCATCGGAAAATGAAATAAACAGTTTGTACCATTTTGAATCAGAGACTATAAAAATAATAAAAATGATAAACAATCAATTAAAGAATAAATTGCATTTATGAACAAGAAAATCTGAGAAAAAAATATCAATCAGTAGTAAACTTTTTTGGGACACACTTTATATACATATCAATATATTTCTATTATATATATTATTTCTCATCTGTTCAATAAATTAATTAGTTAATTAGTTAGTTAATTGTTTCTATATCAGTCGATTTTGAAAGTGAAACGGTGATGGTTAATGGGTGGACTCCCTGTAAAACGGATTGACGCCCTTGATGGGTAACGGGTGAGCCTCCGTGTTGAACACCCATTCGTCCAAGGAGACCAAGCTGTCGTCAGAGAATAGCAGGTAGAGATACTGAAACAAAAAATTTATCATAAAAAATATCACAAAAATTATATTCTGAGATAAAAAAGACCAGAGATTTAACATACAACGGTATTTAACTTGTGCGAATGTTGCCAATTTCTATAGAAAAGTTAACGGAGTGGGGGAACTGGGAGGAGACCCGAATTCTGTGACAGGGACGGCCTTTGTTTATTACCATCACAATGAACTATTAGATTTACCAAAAAGGTGTTTAATGGAATGTTGTATTATGAAATAAAATTAACGTGATTTTGTAATATCAAACAAATGCCACCACATTTTTTGTAAAGAGAAAACAATAGATTTTTTATAGAATATTTCATTAGCTTTTATTTTCTATGGACTACAATAAAATGTTGAAATAAAATATTGTTAATCGAGCAAGGAATGGTACTCATTGTCTACGAGTATTATAATAGCAGCATGTGCGGAGGCGAATACTGCAAATCAAACCTTGTGAGTTGAACATAATATTTTTTCTACAACTATTGCATAATATTAAAAATTAGTTAAAATAAGAAAATGCTGTTTTGTCAGCAGAAGGTATATTAAAGCTTTTTTCTTTGGGAATATTAATTAATGTAGAGGATGTCACATTGATCTCCAGAAATGCATATTTCTGAAACCGGATATTTTAAATGTCATTTGGTCGCTAGGGGTGGGCGATTATCGAATTAAATTATCAATCATTGAAAATAATCGATTATTTTCGATCAATCGATTATTTTTAAACCATCTATTTTTTTCCTATTTCCTTTAAAATCGATTATTCGATTAACTTAATATCAAAAATAATCGATTATTCGAAAATAATCGCTCAATCGAAAATAATCGAATATTCGAAAATAATCGATTAACAGAAAATAATTGATTAATTAAGAAGCCGACTCTACGATAAATGGATATTCAAAAAAAAACTAACCGAATTATCAATTATTTTCAAATAAAGTGATCATTAGATATTTGAAATATCGAAAATAAACCGATTAATTAAAAAAGGCAATTAAACAATAATTCAATTTTTCAATAAATCTGTTTTCTTTTTGTATTTCCTTTAAAATCTATTACCCCATTATCTTTGAAAAATCGAAAATAATCGATTAATTAAAAACCGATTAACCTATAAATCGATGAAAAAAAAAAAATAAACGAATTATCGAATATTTTAAATAACCTATTTTTTGTTCGTATTTCCTTTGAAATAGATTATTAGATAATCTTTGCAAAATCAAAATTAATCGATTTAACAAAAATATTCGATTTATCAAAAATGACTTATTTCTTAAAAAGCCGATTGGTCTTTAAATCGATTGTTAAAAAAAATAATCGATTAACAGAAAATAATCGATTAATTAAGAAGCCGATTCTACGATAAATCAATTTTCAAAAAAAACTAACCGAATTATCGATTATTTTTAAATAATCTATTTTTTGGTATTTCCTTTAAAAGTGATCATTAGATATTTTAAAAATCGAAAATAAATCGATTAATTAAAAAAGGCGATTAAACAATAATTCGATTTTTCAATAAATCTATTTTCTTTTTGTCTTTCCTTTAAAATCTCTTATTACATTATCTTTGAAAAATCGAAAATCGATTAATTAAAAACCGATTAACCTATAAATCGGTGTTTCAAAAAAATAATAAACGAATTATCGAATATTTTAACTAATCTATTTTTTGTTCGTATTTCCTTTGAAATAGATTCGAAAATTTTTGCAAAATCTAAATTAATCGATTAATCAAAAATATTCGATTAATCAAAAATAATTTATTTATTAAAAAGCCGATTGACCTTTAAATCGATTTTTCAAAAAAAAAAAACGAATTATCGATTAATTTAAATAATCGATTATTATCAAATATTTTTTTTATTTCTTTTAAAATTGATTATTCGATTATCTTTGAATATCAAAAATTTTCGATTATTCGAAAATAATCGCTTAATCGAAAATAATCGATTAATTAAGTAACCGATTCCAAGATAAATCGATTTTTGAAAAAAAAAAAAACTAACTGAATTATCGATTATTTTCAAATAATCTATTTTTTGGTATTTCCTTTAAAAGTGATCATTAGGATCTTTGAAAAATCGAAAATATATTGATTAATTAAAAAAGCGATTAAACAATAATTCGATTTTTCAATAAATCTATTTTCTTTTTGTATTTCCTTTAAAATCTATTATTCCATTATCTATAGTGAAAAACCGAAAATAATCGATTAATTAAAAACCGATTAACCTATAAATTGGTGTTTCCAAAAAATAATAAACGAATTATCGAATATTTTAACTAATCTATTTTTTTGATAATATTTGCAAAATCTAAATTAATCGATTAATCGAAAATATTCAATTAATCAAAAATAATTTATTTTTTAAAAAGCCGATTAACCTTTAAATCGATTAAAAAAAAACAAATTATCGATTATTTTAAATAATCGAATATTATCAAATAATCTATTTTTTGTATTTCCTTTAAAATCGATTATTTGATTATCTTTGAATAACAAAAATAATCGATTAATTAAGAAGCCGATTCTACGATTAATCGATTAAAAAAAAATAACTAAATTATCTAAATAATCAATAAGTCGAAAATAATCGATTAATCAAAAAGCCGATAAATCGATAATTCTAAAAAATGACCGAAATATCGATTATATAAAATAACTGATTATATTCGATAAATCCATTACTTTCAAATCAATTTTTTTCGTATTTTCTTTAAAATAAATTATTCAAAAGCAAAAATAATAAATTAATTAAAACAGGCGAGTAAACGATAAATCGATTTTTCAATAAATCTATTTTCTATTTGTATTTCCTTTAAAATCCATTATTCCATTATTTTTGAAAAAACGAAAATAGTTTATTGAAAATATTCGATAAATCGAAAATAATCGATCAATTTTCGATTTTCATAAAAAAATAATAATCGATTAATCGATTATTTTTGTAACTCCTATCGGTCGCTTGCTTTTATCCGAGCAAATTTAAAGATTTGCATAATATATAGTAAATATTGCAAGAATTTAGATTTTTCAGCAAACAAATTTTTTTTTTCGAGTTGTTTAGGGGTTTAAATTGTAACATTTTATTAACAATGTTACTAACTCCCGTAATTTTAGTATTTTTTTGCTTATACTAGATCATAATGTGCGTTTTAATTTGTTTTAAGACTTAAGATTTAAATGATTTGACCGCAAATAAGATGAACTTTGAAATTTTAAGTAGGTCATCCTGTATTTTATCTAATATTCTTATAAAAATGCCTCAATAAAATTTCGCTAGCAATTATGCTTCTTTACTTCTTATTTATCTACCAAAAAGGGCTAAAAACCATCTTTAGTAAATATTCTTTTAAAACTACTTTTTAAAAACAAAATATCGTTAGCAACAATGCCTTTTTTCTTCTTATTTACATTAAATGGGCAAAATTTTGCCCTTTAGAAAATTTATGCAAGTACTATGAAATCTGTTTTCTGAAATATTTAAGTCAAAACGTTATTAAATATAACATTGGCACTTATATTATTTGTATATACAATTTTTTACGATACATCCTATCATTTTCAACTTAAAATTGAATAACTCAAACACTTTAAATTGCTAATAACACAAACAAATCATTCAAAAAACAGCGGTCTATGATGATTCACTCACCCGGAGATGAGGGTAGAATAGAAATGTCGGAACAATTCGGGTGGCGTCGTGGAAACAATGATTTTAATTGGTAGGTTACTTAAAATTGGAATAGACAACATGCGCTATGTGCAATGTTAATCTCTGTTCTCTTTAATCTACGGTTTTATAATTAAATGTTCGTTTTGGAGAGCGATCCGGATTTTCAGGGTCACTTTGGCATTTTGGACTTACCTTCAAAGTTTCTGCCAGGAAGAAACTCTGTTGGACGTCATCTTGTTGGGGATCATCCGCATAAACGTTTTTCAACCCCGTGTACCCTCCGGCCACCCTGCAGTGCTTCTCCAACGCCTGAGCAGCCTCCCAACCCCACTCTCTGTATTTGTTATCTTTGGTCAATCTCCACATGTAGAAGTACGTTTCTATTACTTCGGGTCTCAGGATATAGTACTTTTCTGAGGTCTTTAGCGCTCTAGCTTCCGAGCCTTCGGTAAATCTGAACGATTCTGGGCCCAATTTGGTTGGTGTCCTGTCGTAGGATTCGTGACAGGTGCGCGTGATCTCTCCCGCAACTTTCATGTACTTGCTTGATACTTCGTTATTCAGAGTTTTAGAAGCTAACCCTAACAAACCACCTGAAAAAAAAATTGAATACAATAAAATTATGTTATTTAGAGCTGCCATAGTTCGCTGAAATAAGGGACACTGAAATAACTTACCAGAGAAACATGCGAGATGGTCCATCTTGTGTTCGGGCCTGTCAAATTTCAATTCTGCAAAGTACATGAGTCCATTTGGAGAAGTTTTCAGCATGTGTTGGAAAATGGACGTCATGGAATCGTCGAACATCTGTCTGGCTTCGTTATCTTCTTTGTTTGATTGCAACCACGCTTTCAATAAGTATTCATAAAAGCTGTCACCTAAAGCGCCTATTGACATATGGTCTAAAAATAAAAATATGTCAGGTTTATTACTAGAAAGTGCCAATTTAAATATATGTTTCAATACCAAAGTTCACAGACTACCTTTCTTCATATTTCCAGTCGCTATTCCGTGCTTAGGTAGACATCAATCTTGTTCAAATTAAATAAATAATTGTAGTACTTACGTTGTCCCCATTTTCCAGTTTTCGGATTAAGATAGTTGGGATACAATCCGTTAGGCTTTTCTAATTCTTGAAGAACTTTTCTGACGTGGTCAACTTTGGCACGATAAATAGGTTTTCCAGTCACGTCGCTAAGGTAGGCCATTTCCAGATGAAGTGTACCAAATTCGGACAGTATGCTTGAACTGCCACTAGCCCAGCCATAGTTTTTACTAGTCTATTAAAAAAAAAAAACGAATTAATTTTGTTCAAGCAGGAATAGCGGAAATGTCAAGTAAGAAGTAAAGAATGATGTTGAATTATCACCTTAATGTTTCCTTCCAAATTTATTGCAAGTCCACATTAACTGGACATATTTATCTTAAAATAGAGGCAATGTCTCTTTTAGCTTTTGGATGTAGCTCATTTAAGTAATTTTTACTTAGCATGTTTTTCCTCCAAAAACAGGTTTTTATTAGCGTAGAAATTCTGTTAAGATGTGATATTTTTCACCTTCTTTTTAAGAGAATTGATGTTAGGGGATACTTTTTTGTCTCTTTAATCTGAGGTTGTTTTAAGAAGACATACAACAGATGAGAACCTTCACTATTCATGAATCATCCAAAGCCATTTTGTTAGAATAAGGGTGAACATCTTCTGTTAGAGGTATCGATCAGGACTTTCATTGTCCTGTCGCTTATTTACCAAGGCACAAGGATACCGGTGGCAACGCAGGTGATGGAGTTATTAGTGTTGCATGCATCTTTTACATTTACTACTTTAGTTTCCAGCATGGTATAAAAAATAAAAGGTAGGATATCAACAGTGTCAAAAATAGGACGGCCACGCGCATGGCGTCACGCGTAGAGTTTGTATAGGCGCGAATTTAAAAATACTAACGAAGTGTGAGGAAAATATATGCTAACTTATAGAAATTTGATGAATATTAAGGATAATATTTTAGAAATTACATGAAATATCTATGGATATTATTATGGGATAGTTAAGGAAAGAACTATGAAGGAACTTAAATGCAAATACATACATAAAAGAAATATTTTTTTAAACAGTTTTTTTTTTTTTTTTATACAAATTCGACTTCTAAAGAATAGTTTTTATAACCAGGATAATAAAATAAGGGGTATCTTCGCAACTCGAAACTGGGGATTCTGGTAACAATTTTACATCTGGATATGCCGGAAATTTTTACCTGATTAAGATTTGCAACTCATTTACCTGCATTATTTTACCCAATTGAATAAAAATAAGTTAAATTTTTTTTTTCATATAATGCAGACATTCATATAATATAATGCAAAACATAAAAAAATGTACCAAATACAAATAACTGTTACAATACAAAATTAAAATAATATGTCGCTGCATTTTTCCTGGACCTAGTGGCTGACAGTTTTTTAAATCATTTATCAAGTACAAGTCGAAATTTTCTTTTTTTTTTTTTTGGTAACATTTACAATTTTACTGCAAGGGCTGCTCCATGCCGAATTTTCTTGGGAAGGATGGTAGAATTGCCTATTTAGCATATTTTTTTTTAATAAAAGGCTTATGGATTTTAAGAATTTTAATCTAAGGAACGGCATGCTCCCCTGGGCTTCCGCTGGAGCCGCCCTTGGACTACTTCTAACTAAGCTCTTACTGTCGAGGAAAGCGAGAAACCGTAATATCTTTCTTGAATCCTTTCCTTTAATTGTTACTGTTACATCCGTACTGCAATTTTTCAATGTTTTTTATTAAAACCACTCACAGAGAATAAAGTTTACAACACAATATAATACAAATATCTGACATGTATCTTATAAACGACTCACAAACTACTGCAACATGCGTCTGTCATATGATATTTATTTCACGCCAGCTCTACTAACTCTACGCATGACGTCAGCGCCGCCATGACACCGTGCGCGATATCCCCCCCTGAGTTTCCAGTACTGAGAGAGCAACAAGATATATTATAAAGAACCCCGCACAAATCTTATGGAAATTGGCTCCCGGTCAAATTTGGTCAACTAGCTGTCAAACAACAAGCAATAATCAAAATTAATAAAATCCACATGTAAATATCTGTTTTTGAGGTCGATAAATTTAAAACTGATGTTAACAACTCGATATTAACAGTTGGCAGCTGTCAACTAACTGTCAAACAGTATGTGACAATCAAAATTGACAAAATTCAGGAGTAAATAGATGTCTTCGAGTTCAAAATTGATGTCAAAAAGACGATATTGACAGTGATCAGCTGTCAACTAACTGTCAAACAGCATTCACGATATTTTTTATCAACCTATTTATAATACAGGACGATATATATCGTCCTATTTTAGGAATAGTTAAAGCATTTCAAACTGAAACTCTTCATCTGCGTCTCTTTGGAGCTTGTCTTGCACGTAAGAGGGTGCAAGCCTTACTCGATACACTCCAATGGTCAAATCTTGTAAATATTCCAGAGTTAGTTGTGGGAATTCCATTAGATGGACAGCATCCATTCGAACCCATCTATTTATGTTTCTAGCAAAAAGATTGTTTACATCTACAAATGCTTGCACTATATTTGGTTCTCTTGCTTTTTCAATTATTCGATTTACCAATTCAGCATTAGCTCCATTCATATGAATAGTTGGATAGTATCGGTTTATAAGTGCTCCAGCAATACGATAATAATCTCCTATATTTGGAACATGCTGAACAGGAATAGTTTGTTTAAAGAACTTAAATATAGATTTTATGTGTCCATGCTATTTGACAGTTAGTTGACAGCTGATCACTGTCAATATTGTCTTTTTGACATCAATTTTGAACTCAGCAAACTCGAAGACATATGTTTACATATGGATTTTATCAATTTTGATTGTCACATGCTGTTTGACAGTTAGTTGACAGCTGTTAACTGTCAATATCGTCTTTTTGACATCAGTTTTGAACACTACATCTATTTAGTCCTGAAGTTTGTCAATTTTGATCGTCACATACTGTTTAGACAGTTAGTTGACAGCTGTCAACTGTCGATATCAAGTTGTTAACATCAGTTTTGAATTCAGCTGCCTCAAAAACAGATATTTACATGTGGATTTTATCAATTTTGATTATTGCTTGTTGTTTGACAGCTAGTTGACAGCTGTCAACTGTCAATATTATTGTAGTTGCATTGGATTTGAATGCAGTGACCCCGAAAACATAAGAAGGTACTTCTTTTTTAACGGCGCAAATACTAAACTTTCGAGGAGATTGCCTTTTTAAGTAGTAAATAATGGTCAATCCGTGGAGCTTTGGAGCTCCGTAGGATCTAAAATAAGCAAAATTGAGCTTTGTGCCCCTTGAGACTTTTGCTCAGGATGCCGAAACGAACAACATATCAACATTTCAGCCAATTTGACCAGGAGCTAATTTCCATAAGATTTGTGCAGTGTTTTTTAATTTTTTTTAAAATACTCTTGTTTACAATCTACTCTCTTTTGGTATATGCTTAAACCACTCTTTAAAACATGTCTCAAGTCTTCAGCTTACTGTGTGGTCGTAATACGTATATTACTTTATGGGGTATTAATACACTGCGACCTAAATGATTTATTGTGTTCCCTTTTATCTCAAATGCAGCAAGCAAACAGTCTCGATGACTATAACGACTCTTAGAAACCTGTTTTCTCAAGGAAGTTTAGGATTTGGAGTGGCTTTAAGTTAGGTAGATTGCCCTAGAAGTATAATGCCCTTGGATTCTGAAGTGCTACATAGGTTTTGACTTACAGAATACTGTAAACATTGTATGGTTACAAATACAAACTTATTTTATAGTAAATTTTATCTGCATCTTTTGTATTAAATAAAAATTTGCATTTCTGGAATTTTATAATATATAGAGCTTGATTATTATCCGTAGAGTATATTACTTTACAATGCGCAGAAACCAGATTGAATTTATAGGCAGTAGGCGTGGCCACAGACCTCCCAGCGTCTTATTTATAATACTGCACAGTTGCATTCAGTAGCATAGTAAGCGTTTTACTTATTTTCCTTTCATTGTTATTTTCTTGTGTTTAGTGTTTCGATTTGATCCAAAGAAACGTTTATTTCTTAGTTTTTCGACTATTCAATTTTGTGTGTATTTGGGTAAGTACAATTTATACCTAAATAAATCATTTAAAAAGTAAAAAAGTAAGTTTTATAAACGTCGTCAAATAAGCTCCTCCTATACTCTTTGGATAGTAATCGAACTCTACATAGTTTTCATGTGTAAGTTTAGCCCCACTCAGGTAGTAGAGGACAGAGAATATTTTGCAGGAATCAACCAAAAGTACCTTTTTGTAACAAACTGCGTCAGGAATAATTATGAACCTTAACTTTTATTAAATACAGGGTATTAAAAAAGTTTGGATCAAAATTATTTTCATAGCTCCTGATTTTACGCCAATGGGACATCATAATTTAGCGAAATAAAGTGTATTAACTAATAATGGAACTAACATTTTAATACCCTAATTTTAATACAACCTATAATACCTGACTAAAATTTTAAAGTTGATCAAAAAAATGTTTATTTTACTAACAATAGATACAAATAAATCACGATACGACATATAGTATGATCAAAAATCATTTCTTGGTAAAGCATACGATGTCTTTACTTGTAATTACCAGATAATATCAAAACCGTAATTTCCGAAAAAATATAGGATACGTCCTTTAGAATTAGGATATCGATGTAGGTACACATTTTTAAGTATAGTCCTTCCAATATCAATTGCAGAACACGGTTATGTGGGAAATCATCAATATTAAATATATACGCACGGTACTCGTGCCAAATTTAGAAACGAAAAATAATGTTTACTCCCCTTATACAATGCACTAAATATTAAAGGAACGGTCAGTCAACGTGTACTTGATATATATGTGTCAAAATCCATCATCTCCGTTGTTAACCAATGAAAACATCGAATCGTAAACTTAAATGCACTGTATTGGCCGAAGGTTTACGAAGGGGAGGAGTGTTCGAAAATATCCCTGGAAGACAGTCTGCGATATCAGTGGAGTACTGTCGTGCGGTGTGTTTTGTATGTGTGGTTTGTTTAATTTAAATTTATTTTAATAAATATAAATATGACGTTCTTTAGACCGTGGGCGAATGAAGAAAATGAAATTGCACAATGGAGTGAGATTAAAAACAGGTATGACTTTAACAATAAGGATTTAGATATACAAACACAACAAGTTATTTTAAATATA